GCCCCGTACCACCCTATATTTGACATAGGTTGTTAACATTACTTTTATACTGATTTTTAAGAAACATTCGGACCTTTTGTCACTATCGGAAGACAACCCTTAAAACTGTCATTACTTATATCTCCAATAAAGCTTAAAAAGCCACGTTCAATTTGATTTAAAAAGTTTACGTTTCATTTATATTCATTTACAAAACCAATTGCCGCCCTTTGTTGGCACCGGAAACTACCCTATCACTATGAGCTACCCTTGGAAAGGTTAAGTACTCTATTTCAAATATCAAGCCTGCTATCACATTAAATCTGCCTTAAAATTTTACGATAACATCTATATTGATTTATAAATACTATTGCTGCCCTTCGTTGCCATCAGAACCCACCCCATCAACTACACTTAAACAGGTAATATATTATATCCCCTGTATAAGGCTGAAAGCCATAATACATTTCGAGTAAATTGATAAAATTATATTTGTATTGACTTTCAACAACTATTAATACCAATTGTTGCCACCGGAATACACCCCATCAACAACCCTTAAATCAGTTGTTTATTATTTCCCCGTTATCAAGCTTAAAGCCATAATAGATTTTAAGTAAATTGTTAAAATTATATTTATATTGACTTATGACAACTATTAATACCCTTTATTGCCACCGGAATCCACCTCATTAACAACCCTTAAATCAGTTGTTTATTATTTCCCCGTTATCAAGCTTAAAGCCATAATCGATTTTTAGTAAATTGTTAAAATTATATTTATATTGAGTTATGACAACTATTAATATCCTTTATTGCCTCCGGAATCCACCCCATTAACAACCCTTAAAGCAGTTGTTTATTATTTCCCCGTTATCAAGCTTAAAGCCATAATAGATTTTAAGTAAATTGTTAAAATTATATTTATATTGACTTATAACAACTATTAATACACTTTGTTTCCACCGGAATTCACCCCGTCAGCAACCCTTAAATCAGTTGTTTATTATCTCCCCGATATCAAGCTTAAAGCCACAATGGATTTTAAGTAAATTGTTAAAATTATATTTATATTGACTTATAACAACTATTGATACACTTTGTTGCCACCGGAATCCACCCCATTAACAACCCTTAAATCAGTTGTTTATTATTTCCCCGTTATCAAGCTTAAAGCCATAATAGATTTTTAATAAATTGTTAAAATTATATTTATATTGACTTATGACAACTATTAATACCCTTTATTGCCACCGGAATCCACCCCATTAACAACCCTTAAATCAGTTGTTTATTATTTCCCCGTTATCAAGCTTAAAGCCATAATAGATTTTAAGTAAATTGTTAAAATTATATTTATATTGACTTATGACAACTATTAATACCCTTTGTTGCCACCGGAATCCACCCCATCAACAACCCTTAAATCAGTTGTTTATTATTTCCCCGTTATCAAGCTTAAAGCCATAATAGATTTTTAGTAAATTGTTAAAATTATATTTATATTGACTTATGACAACTATTAATATCCTTTATTGCCACCGGAATACACCCCAACAACAACCCTTAAGTCAGTTGTTTATTTTTTCTCCGTTATCAAGCTTAAAGCCATAATCGATTTTAAGTAAATTGTTAAAATTATATTTATATTGACTTATGACAACTGTTAATACCCTTTGGTGCCACCGGAATCCACCCCATCGACAACCCTTAACTCAGTTGTTTATTATCTCCCCGATATCAAGCTTAAAGCAACAATGGATTTTAAGTAAATTGTTAAAATTATATTTATATTGACTTATAACAACTATTGATACACTTTGTTGCCACCGGAATCTACCCCGTCAGCAACCCTTAAATCAGTTGTTTATTATCTCCCCGATATCAAGCTTAAAGCCACAATGGATTTTAAGTAAATTGTTACAATTATATTTATATTGACTTATGACAACTATTAATAGCCTTTGTTGCCACCGGAATGCACCCCAACAACAACTCTTAAATCAGTTGTTTATTATTTCTCCGTTATCAAGCTTAAAGCCATAATAGATTTTAAGTAAATTGTTAAAATTATATTTATATTGACCTATAACAACTATTGATACACTTTGTTGCCACCGGAATCCACCCCGTCAACAACCCTTAAATCAGTTGTTTATTATTTCCCCAGTATCAAGCTTAAAGCCATAACGGATTTTAAGTAAATTGTTAAAATTATATTTATATTGACTTATAACAACTATTAATACACTTTGTTTCCACCGGAATTCACCCCGTCAGCAACCCTTAAATCAGTTGTTTATTATTTCCCCGGTATCAAGCTTAAAGCCACAATGGATTTTAAGTAAATTGTTAAAATTATATTTATATTGACTTATAACAACTATTAATACACTTTGTTTCCCCCGGAATCCACCCCGTCAATTACCCCTAAATCAGTTGTGTATTACGTACACGATATGAAGCTTAAAACCATAACAAATTTTAAGTGAATTGATAACATTACACTTAGGCCCTGTACTTTGAGTCTCGGTTAAGGCTCGATTAACTAATCAGGCGATTAGACTGTGATTATATTTATATCATTATATGTACAGTCTAATCGCCTGATCAGTTAATCAAGTTTTAATCAAGACTCAAAGTACCGGGCCTTATAATAATTATTAATACCCTTTGTTGCCACCGGAGTCCATCCCATCAACCACCCTTAAATCAATTGTGCATTATATATGTTGTATATTTATTATAAGACAATACATGTTAACAATTCACTTAAAATCTGTTATGGCTTTAAGCTTGATATCGTGTACATAATACACAACTGATGTAAGGTTAGTTGACGGGGTGAATTCCGGTGGTAGCAAAGGGTATTAATTGAGTTGTTATAAGTCAATATAAATATAATTTTAACAATTTACTTAAAATCTATTATGGCTTTAAGCTTGAAAACGGGGAAATAATAAACAACTGATATAAGGGTTGTCGATGGGGTGGATTCCGGTGGCACCAAAGGGTATTAACAGTTGTCATAAGTCAATATAAATATAATTTTAACAATTTACTTAAAATCTATTATGGCTTTAAGCTTGATAACGGAGAAATAATAAACAATTGATTTAAGGGTTGTTGTTGGGGTGTATTCCGGTGGCAATAAAGGGTATTAATAGTTGTCGTAAGTCAATATAAATATAATTTTAACAATTTACTAAAAACCTATTATGGCTTTAAGCTTGATAACGGGGAAATAATAAACAACTGATTTAAGGGTTGTTGATGGGGTGAATTCCGGTGGAAACAAAGTGTATTAATAGTTGTCATAAGTCAATATAAATATAATTTTAACAATTTACTTAAAATCCATTGTGGCTTTAAGCTTGATATCGGGGAAATAATAAACAACTGATTTAAGGGTTGTTAATGGGGTAGATTCCGGTGGCAACAAAGGGTATTAATAGTTGTCATAAGTCAATATAAATATAATTTTAACAGTTTGCTTAAAATCTAATCTGGCTTTAAACTTGATAACGGGGAAATAATAAACAACTGATTTAAGGGTTGTTGATGGGGTGTATTCCGGTGGCAACAATTGGTATTAATAGTTGTTGAAAGTCAATACAAATATAATTTTATCAATTTACTCGAAATTTATTATGGCTTTCAGCCTTATACAGGGGATATAATATATTACGTGTTTAAGGGTAGTTGACGGGTTGGGTTCTGATGGCAACGAAGGGCAGTAATAGTATTTATAAATCAATATAGATGTTATCGTAAAATTTAAAGACAGATTTAATGTGATAGCAGGCTTCATACTTGGAATAGAGTACTTGACCTTTCCAAGGGTAGTTCATAGTGATAGGGTAGTTTCCGGTGGCAACAAAGGGCGGCAATAGGTTATGTAAATGAATATAAATGAAACGTAAACTTTTTAAATCAAATTTAACGTGGCTTTTTAAGCTTTATTGGAGATATAAGTAATGAAAGTTTTAAGGGTTGTTGACAGGGTGTCTTCCGATAGTGACAAAAGGTCCGAATGTTTCTTAAATATTAGTATAAAAGTAATGTTAACAACCTATGTCAAATATAGGGTGGTACGGGGCTAATTTTCTAAAATACATGTAACTAAGTTTTAAGGGTGGATAATATGGGGGGTGGCTTCTGATGACGGGGAAGCATTGTTTTCGTTTACAGAAGTCAGAATTTTGTTGGTAAAATCATTTTAAGTACGATTAAACGTGATATTACGGGTTTTCATTTTTGTTCAAACGAACGTTCGGAACTTCAGGTACATTATTTGTTTATTTCTCAATGTGTACAGATCTAGATTCATACCTGTTTATAGCAATAATTGTGATATTTTTTATTTTATGGAAGATCAAATGTAAAAAAACTTACATACCCCAGGGTGTATAAACCACATACAAAAAAAGTTTTATTACATATCCCCAGGGGCATGTATCGCAGTTACGAACAAAGTACATTGTGTCTGCCTCAGTCAACGTGTTAAACAAGAAATTAGTAATAGTAATGAAAATTCTTTAATTTCCAATCTAATAAAAGCCAGCAGAAACTTACCCGAGTCATCCGAAACTGTAGAATAATGAGGATCCAGTTCCCTCTTATTCTTATTCATTTGTTTCGTCTGTGCAATTATATTTGCCAAAGGCTCTCTAACACTAATACTGGTATAACCCTCTGAAAACGGAGAGTACTCAATATTTGATGGATATAAAAAAAATATTATATTATCTATCAAACACATTCCAACAAAATACAAATAAAAACGTTTTAAACAACAAAACAAATGTAAATTTTTCCAAACAAACACTCTACCTTCGAAAACAACACATAATAAATTTTACACTTACTTGAAGAGTCTTGTGAATCTCCACTAAAATTTGCCTGGGTGACCGGAGGGGTCATATAAGGCAATTCCGGACTAGCTGCTAAAACACCTGCTACAGCCGATGCAGCAGGGATATCAAGCCCACCAGCACTATGCGAGGACGACCTCCGAGATCTAGGCGGTGCAGAAGGTTCACTAGATGTACCTGCTCCTTCCACCCTAAAAATTGATTATGTTTGTAATTTTTTTACAGACATGTCTGTACTGACTCAAAATCGAGCAGATATTAAAAAAATCCAAACATTTTCTATAATCCAATACACAGTAACCTTAGAACATATACAACATAGATGAAGCACACTTACGGCGACAGTGTAGACGAGTGACGGAGAGAGAAAGAGTTAGTTTGGACACTATTTTTCTCTCTAGTGCATACGCGTGATTGGCTAACACAACTCCCTGGTGATATTCAAATAAAATTAAGAGAGAGAAAGAGAGCGAGTACCCAAACTATCGCCCTTTCTCTTTACAGTATAAAGTCCAGCAGGAGCAAAATCCAATTACAAGAGTTTAATAGAAATATGTAGTGGTTTTAAGATTTTAATAGTTTATAAGTAAAAGCCATAATATAGAGTAAAAAATATCTAGAATATAAAAAAATAATAATTACAGTAAGTAAAAATACATAGAAGAGAAAATCATAATTTAATGATAAGAAAAGAAATAAATACAATGAATATTGTCAAAAGAATAAAATAATAAGAATAGTTAGAAAACGTAGATATTAAATTTTAATTTGTCAAATTATATAAATAGGGGATTTTAACATTAAGCTGATTATAATAGTTTATTAATAATACAGAGTGTTAATGATATACTTTGCCAAACTTTAATGGTGGATTCTACAGGGTGATTAAAAAAACCGCTGACAGACTTCTAGGGTAGATAATACATAAAAAATTAAGACGAAAAGTTTTAATAAACATAGGGTCGCAAATGCTTCTTTAACCAGATACAGGGCGTCAAAGTTTCTGTAAAATTAAACATTGTCTGCAATAATTCCAAAATGCCTGAACATTTCTATTTCAAATTTGCTATGCGTAGTTAGCACCTTAAGACCAATGTTTGATGTACTGCTCAAAATTTTATGAGCAGCAGTGTCGT